TCCAGTGGAAAGGAATAAGAGCAGCCGAAGAATGTGCAGTGGACTGAAGAATGTGGATCGTGGGCTGAAAGATTCTCTGGGTTGCTGTAAGAAAACCTCCTTTACACCTTTGATTTTAGCAGCCCCCTGCTAGATTCCTCTTCCTCCCCCTCCCCAGCTTTGTTTGCCCAGGTTTTCAAAGACGTGGGCTTCCTTCCCCGAGCTTCCTTCCCGTATTTCCCTCGAACCAAATTAGCTCTGTTTACACAGCTCGGCTTCTGGCCATGGCGCTCCATCTGGGATTTGCCTGTCGGTCGGCGTGCGCGGGGAGCCATTTGACAACAGAACGGCCTTTATATATCTGGGAGGAACCGCAAGCGTCTGGCATCTGAACACTTCTCAGGAACTCCAAGCGGGAACCTCTGCCCCCTTCCTGGCTCCGTTGACTGCTGTGAGCCGGCCGTGATCAAGGCTGAAGGATAAATTTCCATGGCTTTATAGAGCCTTCTTGAAAAGGAGTATCAGCCGGGTTCTTATCTCACATCCGATGGAAAAAGGCCAGCTGTTGCATGCCGTGAGGGTTTGATTCCCAGCGTTTCTGGAACAAGGGGGTTCTGGGTGCTGGGCGAGCACCGTGTCTGCCCAAAGAGAGGGGGGGTGTTTTTTGGCCCGCTTCTGTCCTCAGCACCGAGGTGGCCCGAGGTGTAAAAGAGCTTGCCCACCCCAAGTTCAAAGAATGAATTGGGATCTTGGGGGTATTTGGCGTGCGATTCTCCCGAGAGGGAATGCAGTCTTATTGCTTTTAGATCACAGAGGAATGGGTGAGTTGTTGCTTCGTTACCTGCCACCTCAACTTTTCAGGTAACGGGGGGGGGCAAGAGTGCTATTTCCCCCCACCCCCCCAGAAATGACACAAAGACTGGTAACATCTTTATTTTGTTGGTGTAAGAAGTAACACTTCTTACACCTAGCAGGGGGCTGCTAAAATCAAAGGTTTTCTTATAGCAACCCAGCGATGTCTACTGTCTACTATGTTGGCTTGGGCAAAGGGGGCTGCTAAAATCAAAGGTGTAAAGGTTTTCTTATAGCAACCCAGTAACATCTATTGTCTAATACGTTGGCTTGGGCTTGTTGTAAGAATGACTGATGGTCGGATTCCAAAAGATCTCCTGTATGGAGAATTAGTGCAAGGAAATCGCCCCAGAGGGAGACCACAGCTGCGATCCAAGGAGATCTGCAAGCGGGATCTGAGGGCCTTATGAATGGAACTCAACAGATGGGAAACCTTGACCTCTTTGAGCGTTCAGCCTGGAGGCAGGCGGTGCATCATGGCCTCTCCCAATTTAAAGAGACCCTTGTCCAGCAAGCCGAGGCAAAGAGGAAGTCCCAAAACCAGCAAAGCCAGGGCGCTGGACAGGGGACCGATTGTATTTGTCTTCAGTGTGGAAGAGATTGTTGTCACTCTCGAATTGGCCTTCTCAGCCACACTAGACACTGTTCCAAGTCCTCCATTCAGAGCACGTTACCATCATCTCTCAAGACTGAAGGATGCCTAAAAAAAAAGAAGAAGTAACACTTATCCCTTTTGTTACAAAGAGTGAGTTTTTGGGGAAAGGATCACTGGAGAAGATGTTTTTGTAAAAAGCTTATTTTGGTATGTGCATTTTAAAGTGTGTTTTTAAAACAATCTTTATTCATATCCAAGTGTTTCATAATTCCAGATCATAGACCCACATGGCTAGAAGCCATCAGAGCCTGAAATGTGCGCAGAAACATTTTCTCGACGTCAGCTGTCCTCCTGGAGGTTGGCTCACAGTTTGATGCTGTTCTAGTGCAAAACTACTGGGAGTGAAGGATTGTTTGTTGCCTAGGGGACACCCGCATGTACTCACAATGCTTTCCCCACCCTCTCGGGAGGCTCCTTCTACATCTCCCGTTTTTAAAAATAATACCCTATGTGACATTAGCAGCCGGAATCCTCTTGGTGTTTGTGCAAAGTTAGTGTAACTTGCCACAGCGGATTTCAGTTTGTTGACCAAGCACGTGTGCACAGCTGGGTTGTGCAACCAAGCACGTGGCCAGACATGCAGATGAGACACCCCAGGGCCGCGACAGTTAGTCGCAATTAGCCATGGTAGGTTACACAAACTTTAGGTGAGGCCATTGGTTTTGAAACCAAAAGGCAGGAGTAAAGATGACTCTCTGCTTGATATTTTATAGGGTGACCAATTATTTAAAGGTTATAACATTCTTTCCTTAGGCCTGGAGGTTTTTGATTTTTGCCTTGAGTGCAAGAAAGTTTCTGAAACTTGGTGAAGGCTGACCTTTGTGACATCACTTAGTGGTGGAGCATGAACATGATGTCCATGTTCAAACACCGGAAATGCTCAGTAAAAGGGTGGCTGTCGTGCATGCTGGGAAGAAATGGCTTTTTTGGATAACCATTGCCAAATCCTAGGGGTTCATGGGAACTGTAGTCCAAAACATAATTTCCTCCAAACTCTTGTGGAGTCCCCACCCTACAGGCCAACTCTCCTGTTCTCTTTAAAAAAAAAACATTGCTATTTTTCTAGTCTTAATTTTGGTATGCTCAGTGTCCGGAGCTGATCTCCTGACACAGTACGTCAGTGGCTATTATTGTTATATTTGTTTATTTTCGCGCTTCTCGAGTGGTGTTTTAACACTGGGAGAGAAGGAGAGAGGGAGAGAGAGAGAGAGAGAGAGAGAAACCAGAGACAACTTGCTGGAAGCTTATCATTTGCAACAGAGATGTTCCAAGTTTTTTGTTCTTGGGGGCCGTCCAGTTCTTGGGACATAGGTTTTTTTTGCCGTATGGGCCAGCTGGCTCATGCATCCCTTGCCAGGCTGCGTAGCAAAGTTGACGCCACCACAGTCCGATGATGGATAAGGGTGACAGACTGGGAAGGATGGAGCCTTCTTTCAGACCGGCGGGTCATGCCGGAAGCAAAAAGATGGGATGAAAACGATGAGCATCTTTTAGTTTAAAGCTCTTCCGATCAGCATCCAAGCCCTAGAAGACGCAGTGCAGGATTGTAGAATGGGGGGGGAACCCACATACTGCTGAAGGAGGGTGTTGCGAAGAAGGGGGCACAGCCCCCTGAGGAATCCTGGAGGGCTGGGCTTCCCCACTCCTGGCTTTTAAGCAGGCATGTACAACCTCAGGTGAAGAATTTGGGCTGTGCCTTGAAGTTAACATCTGGCAGAGCCACTGGAAGTGTTTTGGGGTCTGGTGGGACTGATCAGCTGACCTCTTGCACACCGGCCTCTAAAGGAGATGTAAGGGAGACAAAGGAAGGACAGTCTGTAAAGTGCAGTGAAAGAAAGAATTTACAGTCATGCCCCGCTTAACGATTACCTCGCATTATGACGCATCCGCTTCATGACGATGTTTTTCAATCGCAATTGCTATCGCAAAACGATGTATTAAATGGTTTTTTTTCGCTTTGCGAAGATCGGTTCCCTGCTTTGGGAACCGATTCTTCGCATTACGATGATCAAAACAGCTGATCGTCGGGTTTTTAAAATGGCCGCCGGGTGCTCCAAATGGCTCCCCGCTGTGCTTAGGGACAGATTCCTCGCTATACAGGCACAAAAAATGGCCGCCATATGGAGGATCTTCGCTGGACGGTGAGTTTTTAGCCCATTGGAATGCATTAACCGGGTTTTAATGCGTTTCAGTGGGTTTTTTATTTTCACTTTACGACGTTTTCGCTCTACAGCGATTTCGCTGGAACGAATTAACGTCATTAAGCGAGGCACCACTGTACGAGGAAAAGGGAGTCCCTATTGTAAGGGAAAGTGTAAGGGAAAAAAAAAGATAAGGTTTAAGGGGAAAGCGCTCCATGTGTGGAGTGCTGCTTCCATCACGGAATTACACTGCCATGCAAGGCGTTGCAACCAAGCGGGAGTCTACAGCGCTTCCTATTTTAGGGAAAAGAGAGTTGGTGGAAACTTAATTCTCTTCTGTCTCCCAAAGGAATAATCATCCAGATAGACCAAAGTATTTCTCCTCCTCTATGACCGGAAAAGGGAAAATCAAGACCCAAAGCCTGGACTGATAACATTGGTAGGAGGACAGATAATGGGCATCATTCAGGGCAGTTTTACAAGCTCCGGGAGAGAAGGGTGGGAGGAAATGGAATCTGTGCTCATGATATGGGAGCAGTGGGGGACTTCCTGCTTAACAGACTTTGGAAAAGTTATTTAGCCATGCTGCCTGGAGGTTCTTGAAGCTGTAGTTGCACAGTAACCCTTTCGAGGTCTGTTCTTCAAGTGGGATTTATTATTTTTTTTTATTAAAATCCTGTGTTGTAAACTAAGCCAATGTAAAGGAGATGATGTTGCTGTACTGACAGTGGCAGATTGCTGGTGATTAAAGACTTCTTGCTTTGCTTCTGGGATTGTCATGTCTTGTGGACAATAAGACTGATTGTGTGTGAGTGGTGCAGGCCCTGGGGTCGAAGCAGGGGCTCTCTGATGACAGGCAATTGCCAGAGGTATCCTCTGTCTTATCCTGGTGTAATGTACGTGGCAGGATTTTGTCCACTCATTATTATACCGCTAGGTAGCACTTATTCCCCAGTCACAAGAGCAGTGCAACAAAGACCTCTTGTCTCCATGTAGAGGTCCTGGATTGGGAGTCTGGCACATCGTCCACCCCTTTGAGATACCCAGTTTTCGTTAAAAACCTTAAAGTCTCTAGTTTCCATATTTCATAGTCTGGACTATAGTTGTTTTGGGATTCCAAGATGTAGACATTTCCCATGCATACTTCATAAAAATGAGGCACATGTACTTTTTTTAAGGAAATGTGAGATTGTCAAGGATTTGGTGACATGTTTTTCTTCTGAGAACCGCCCTAGACACTTAAGGATTGGAAAAGGGGTCTTGATTCAACTCATTCTGCGGGTTTTTCCTTACTTAAACCGCATGCTCAGTTGTGTCTCGGAAACGCTGACCCCCGGCTTCTTGCTTTTTTCCCACCGCTTCTGCTTCTTTAGCGCAACACCTTCCAGGTGGTCTTAGCCTACGGCCCTTCGGACACCTACGCTCTGTTCCTTTATCCTGAGGATGGGATCCAGTTCTTTGGGACCCGGCCGAAAGAGTCGTACAATGTCCACTTGGAACTCCCGGCCCGGGTGGGCTTCAGTCGAGGGGATGACCAGCGCCAAGAAGGACCTTTCTACAGCCTCACCAGCGGCGAACAGTCCATCAAAAACCTCTACCAGTAAGTTGCTGCTGGAATTTTGTGGAGGCCTTGCAAAAATTGCAGTTTCTGGCACTGCCTGTAGATGCTTTCTGTGTTTACCAGTTGCAGATGGGTTGATGGTGCGTGGCCGGGGAAAAGAATAAAAAGTTGTTAAGGGAGGGATGAGAAAATTTTTGTTCATGCTGCTCTGAACGGTAAGGGATCTAAGCAGTGATTAGAAAGTTTCTTCCAGACGAAATAACTAAATACAGTGGTGCCTCGCATAGCGATGTTAATTCATTCCGCAAAAATCGCTGCATTTTTGCAGAATGAAAACGTCGCTATGAGATTTTTAAAAGCCCATAGAAACGCATTGAAACCCCTTCAATGTGTTCCTATGGGCTTAAAACTCACCGTTGAGTGAAGATCCTCCATACCGCCACCATTTTCGGTGCCTCTAAAGCGAGGAATCCGTCCCAGAAAACAGCGGGGGCCATTTTGTTTATCCGGCGGCCATTTTGAAACTGCCAATCAGCTGTGCGGAAATGGGGGCTTTGCGATGATCGCTTCCTTGCGATCATCGCAAAGCAAAAATACCCCATAGGGAACATTGCAAAGCGATCGCTTTTGCAATCGCAAAAAGTCCATTGCAAAGCGATTTCGTCGCTATACAGAGTGATCGCTATGTGAGGCACCTCTGTACTGTATGAAGATTGCCCCCATGTGTTGCCTGACCTCTAGGGGGGAGTTTTAATACTTTTTGAAACACAGGCCCCCATGAGTCTTCTGGAATTCCGAGGCTGAACTATCAAATCAAGCCTGAACTCTCTCTGGAGGCAAAAAAATGTTGAAACTGAGGTTGTCCTACTTTGGGCACATCATGAGAAGGCAGGTTTCTTTGGAAAAGACAATAATGTTGGGAAAGGTGGAAGGCAGCAGGAAGAGAGGAAGGCCAAATGCGAGATGGACGGACTCCCTCAAGGAAGCCATGGGCTTGAGTTTGTAAGAGTTGAGCAGGAGGACAGTAAATTTTGGAGATGGCTCATTCATAGGGCCACCATGTCGGAAGGTGGCTTGATGACACACAACCACCACAAAGCCCAGGAGTAAAGGACCCACTCAAGTGTCCCTTATGGCTTACAACTGGTGCATCCATGAGAAAACACCCTTCCATTTCTGCATTCTGAGGCAGAAGAACTGACAGGGTGGGGCTGAGTTCTGCGACACTGCAAAGAGCTTTCTATTAGGAGCCTCGTGGCTCAGGAGTTAAACTGTGGGACTGCCGTCAAAACTCTGCTCACTGTCTGGGTTCAATCCCAGGTAGCCACTGGAGGTTCACTCAGCCTTCCATCCTTCCGAGGTTGGTAAAATGAGTACCTTGCGTGTTGGGGGAGAGGGGCAATATGTAGCGTGCATAATGAACGTGTAAACCACCCAGAGAGTGCTTTAAGTGCCGTGGGTCGGTACCTAAGCAGCATGCTTGGCTTTGTAGTCTCCCTGCCCATTGTGCTTGTACAGGATGTCTCTCAGGAAACTGCAGCCCTCCTAACGCTTTGCCATCCGACAGGACACAGCTCCGATTGTTCCATTTCTACTGCCTCACCCTGTTAAGGTCATGCAAGCCTACCTCGGGGTCTGGGAGCGGTGTCAGATACTGTACCTTGCTCGACTTTGTTTGCATAAGGCAGCTGTTCCGTCAGATAATTTTACAGAGTCTGGAAAAAGGTGCATTTGGGGAAGTGAGTTCAAGTCTTGTTTGGAAAAGCGGTGGGAACTTCCCTCTGGGATGGGGAGGGGGGGAGGCAAAGGTTGTTATCCCTCATTCCGAGGAAGCAGCCACCTGCCCGTGTCAAAGCGGTGGCTCGTGATTTCTGACCCTCGATGGGGGTTGTGTTATTATTTTTTTGCAGGCTGCTAAAGATCCTGACTCAGCTGGCCCCTCTGGCTGAGACTTTCGGAGCAGAAAGCCTGCAAAGCAGGCGGGTTGGAAGGACTCCTCTGCCAAAATTTCTCAGTCCGAGATTATCCGTTTATTTCTTTATTGTCTTTATCTGAAGGACTCCTCTGCCAAAATTTCTCAGTCTAAGATTATCTGCTTATTTCTTTATTGTCTTTATTTATTTCTGCTGGATAGCTCAGTGGTTTAGGTATCTTGCTGCAGACCCAGTTTGGATGTTTGATTCACCACCGGGCCTCCTTAACAGGGGCTGGACTTAATGGTTTATAGGGTCCCTTCTAGCTCTGCAGTTCTAAGAGTCGTAGGGTCCCTTCTAGCTCTGCAGTTCTATGAGTCTCCTCCTCCTCCTCCTCCTTCAGTATACAGTGGTGCCTCGCAAGGCGATGTTAATTTGTTCAGCGAAAATCGCTGTCTTATGAAAACAACATCTTGCGAAACGAAAAAGCCTATTGAAATTGATTGAAACCGGTTCAATGCATTCCAGTGGGCTGAAAACTCACCGTCCAGCTAAGATCCTCCATAGGGGCGGCCATTTTCGCTGCCTGTAAAGCGGGGAATCTGTCCTGAAAACCCTGGGGGGAGCCATTTTGCACAGCGGGTGGACATTTTAGAACTGCCGATCAGCTGTTTCTGAATCATCATCACAGCGGGCGGCCATTTTAGAACCGCCAGTTAGCTGTTGCTGAATCATCGTTTAGCGAAAAATCAGTTCCCGAAGCAGGGAACTGATCATCATTAAGCAAAATTTCTCCATAGGAACATCGTTTTGTGATCGCAAAAGCGATCGCAAAAACTTCATCGTAAAGCGGTTTTGTCATTTAACAAGGCAATCGTTAAGCGAGGTACCACTGTGCCATGTTCTATTCTGGGCAATTTACAAGATAAAAATAGGATCATCACATATTAAACAAAAACATGAACAAAACCACAAGAGATGTAAATTAGAAAAATAAAATGTGGAGCACGAGGTGTATTATCAAGACAAGCAGGAGGAATGGGTCAGGCAGGGTTCCTTTTAAAAGGCCTCCCTGGAAAGCAGTGTTTTCAAACGCCTTTTGCGTGTTGGGAGGGGGAGGGTGCCAGTTGTTTCCAGAGTGTTGGTGCCACCGCAAAGAAGGCTCTGATTCTGGTGGATGGTTTCCCTTCGGGGTGGCTACCTGGAGGACCAAGCCTTGGGTGGATCTGGCAGGATGGGCCCTTAACCTTGGGGAAAGAGGCTCCGACAGGTAACCTGGTTCCAAATCATGAAGGGCTTCCTAGGTGAGCATCAGAACCTTGAATCTGATCCCAGGATGCAACAAGTAGCCAGGGTAGGCTGGGGAGATGTTCACTTCACCCACTGATTCTGGTTGCCACCTTCTGGACCCGCTGCCATCTCTGGGACAGCCTCCTTGTTTTCCCCAAGTTTGATTAAGGTGGAAGAGTTGAGGTTGGGCGGGAAACATAGCATCTTCCAAAGGAGATGCTCCGGTGGCAGGGCAGTGGCTGCCTTTATTTCCTACCTTCAGGGGCTCCTTCTGTGTGGACTTGCCCCCATCTGAGAAGCCCATGTTGGAATGAGAGAACGGTGCCCACTGTTGGGGGCCCACATTTTAAGAAGGCCATCGACAACCAAAAAAAAATGCACATGGTGGCTAGAACGATGGAAGATTTGGAAACTAAGGGACATGAGCAAAGCTAGGAGATGTTGCATTTTGGACGCCACCCCCCCAGGAACTCCGAGGGTGGGGGGGATTTGGGGAGCTTTAGCTCCATGAAATAACTTTTCTCAACTCTCCCTGTGAAGAAGAGGTTGAAACAGTTGGGCCCCATTTGTGCGTAATAACATTCATTGCATGCTGCATTTTGTACTCTGACTTTGTAAACCTCTCTCTGCTGGCTGGCTGGTATTCTTGTGATTTTGCTGTCTTTAAAAGTCACAGTATTTGAGGATCATACCTTGTATGATGCCTTCTCTGAATTTCCATTATTATTCTTTCTTCTTCTATTATGTTATTTTAATCTTGATTTGTTAGCCACCAGAGTAATAACTTTGCCACTAGTTGGGTGGGGAATAGATAGACCGACAGACAGATGATAGATAGATAGATAGGTAGATAGATAGGTAGGTAGGTAGGTAGGTAGGTAGGTAGGTAGGTAGGTAGGTAGGTAGGTAGGTAGGTAGGTAGGTAGGTAGGTAGGTAGGTAGATAGATAGATAGATAGATAGATAGATAGATAGATAGATAGATAGATAGATAGATAGATAGATAGATAGATAGATAGATAGATAGATAGATAGATAGATAGATAGATAGATCTAGTCAATTCTAACTTATGGCAATGCTTTCCAGGGTTTTCTAGAGAGGGAATGGCTTCTCATTCCCTTCTTCTGAGGTTGCCCTGGAACTGTGCAGCTTGCCCAAGGCCACCCAGGCTGGCTATACTCAGAGGAGGCACAGAGGGGAATTGAACCCCCAACATCTGGCTCTGCAGCCAGATACCTAAACCATGGAGCCCTCCAGCCGACTCGTTTATGCCTACAGAAGATTCATAGCTGAGCAGCTGTAGCCGAAGACAGAGCAGCTGCGTTCTCTTGTTGTTCCAGAAGGGTGGGCAAAAATCCGTGGCTGGAAACGCCAAGGCAGCTGATTTGGGCTCAACGTTAGGAGAAAGAATAACGGTCCTAATTGCTTCAACAGCAGAACCGACTGCCCTAACCACGGCCTGCAGTCTCGAGGGGCGCAGCCCTTGCACTGGTGAACTGGGAGAATGAGGTTGAGTGACTTCTATCCTCCGTTACTCCGCCAAGCACATCGTTGATCCTAGAAGATTATTTAGGAGGTGAATAAGGAGGGCAGATTTTTACGGGCAGGGAAGATAATACTAGGAGGAGATGATATGAAGAAATACTTCCAAACCATGAACTTCCACAGCCGACTCCCTGGGAATGAGGGAGCTTGGGGATCAGGAGGGGGTGGGTGGGTGTAGGAGGAGAATTTAAGAATTTCGCTGGAACTTGACCAATGCAGGGAGCCAGGCTTGTAAAGGAACAGCTGCCATCTCTCCCGCCCCACTGTTATCCGATGCAAGCTGGTCCCCCATTTGGGGCTGGTCGGCATGAAGGCAGAGGATCGGAATGAGGAAAAGAGGAAAGTCTGTGGAGGTGAAGGGCTTGGGAACAGGCATTTGAAAAGATGCTCTGGGTGTCTACATCGGCTGGGGGCCCAGAGGTCAATAGGTGGCTGGCTCATTGGGGATTCAGATCGATTTCACCCCTCAGTGGTGGTAGGTGGGAGGGGAGGCTACAAACTCTTCAGTCTCCTCCCATCCCAGGATTTTATCTTATGATTTTGGTAGCCTATTGATGAGCCTAAATGGCCTCATTGGTCTTTCATCAGTGGGGCGCAGGTTCCCTCATATCTCATCTGAGATGTTGCCTTCCTTCCTTCCTTCCTTCCTTCCTTCCTTCCTTCCTTCCTTCCTTCCTTCCTTCCTTCCTTCCTTCCAAGGGACCCAAGGTGGCTTACAAACTATTTAAAAACAAATGGCTAAAACAAAAAAATAAAAAAAATAAGGGTACATATTTGAAGTTGCGATATTTGAAAAAAAAGTGTATGTATTCATCATGTAAAACAAAAAGACATGGAAAACGCTAAAAAGACAGCTTCCCTCCTTAAAACCCCTTCCTGAGCTGTGATTTACTTTGGAGCCAGAGAGAGCCACAGATCTGCCCTGCCAGCTCAAGAGATGTACAGGTTGCGGTAATAGCCTCCTTTCCACCCAGTTTCTTTCTCTTCCTGATGCCTGTTTTATGAGATTATAAACTTTTAGGCAAAGCCAAGGAGTTGGGGGACGTGGGTTCAAATCTTCACTCAATGGCATTAGCCTTCTCCGACTGGATGTGCCTTCTGGATGTGTTGGAGAAAAAACACCTAGCATTTCCATTGGTCCGGTTGGGGATGATGGGACTTGTAGCCCAGACCATCTGATGGGGGAAAGCTTAAAGCAATGTGCCTCTGAGCATGAGTTGGGCTGGGAGACGGGCTGGAGCCAGTTGGTTGGAGGAAGAATGAACAGGATACTGGGTTAAATGGGACCGGGGCCTGATCCTGCAGTGGCTCAGATCCATTTCCCTTATGAATTTATTTATTTATTTATTGTATTTTATTTATTCTATTTGTACCCTGCCTATCTGGTCAAAACGACCACTCTAGGCGGCTCGTCCTTGTCTTCTGCATGGTCAAGTTTCACTTCAGGGCGTGGATCAGCTCCTCCTCGTGCTCCTTTATTGAAATTCCAGAATATGTACATCCACGGCATTGCATTTTTGGTATAATTTAGAATGGGTGGCCTCCATCCTTGGGTGGCCTCCTTCTTTGGTTGCCTGCTTGATGCTTCCTGTTGGACAGGAAAACCAGACAGGTTGAGTTGTCTCTAGGGTTTGCTAGGACAGACCCTTGCCTTTCCTGAGGTTTCAGGACCCAAACCTTGATGAGATGGACTCTTGTGGGGTCATGGTGGGTTGTTATGTGCGACGTGTGTGAAATAACGTGGCTCCCTCTGTGTGTGTGCCTAGGAGGCCGTGGGAGATTTCCTGCACCATTTCCTAAGCCCTAGAGGCTTGTGGGATGGGGTGGGTGGGGGAGAGGAGGACATCTAGGTGAGAAAAAGCTGCCCCCAGTAAAAGTGATCTTTTCCCTCCTCCGTTTCACCTTGAGATTCGTCATTCTGTCTGGAGACAGGATCTCCCATCCCAGTTCCAGGACCAGGTGGACGTGTTCCTTTTAATCATTCCTGAATCCACCGTTACTCCAAATCCAGGCCAGATTTGGCCAACTACGCATGTGATTTGACCCAACTCTGGGAGGCAGTGGAAGACAGGAGGGCCTGGCGTGCTCTGGTCCCTGGGGTCACGAAGAGTCGGACACGACTGAACGACTAAACAACAACAACGCATTTGATGACAGAAGTGAATGTGGATTCAGGAAGGATCTGAGGGGAGACATACTGGGGATCCTGATCGAGGAGACTTGACCCGTTGCCAGGACCTGCCAGCCCCATGTGTTGTCCCCTTTACCCCTTTTGCTCATGATGGTGTAACAAAGTCACCTCTCAAAAGAGCAAAGCAAATGCAAAGGGAGTTACTCCGTGGACAGGACAAGTCATAATATCTGCCTGTTTTCTAATGTTGCTGTTTGAGGTCATTTTGAGCTGTTTTTGGGGTAGCCTTCTAACAGGATTAGGCCATTCCTGCTTGTGTAATAAGCGACGCCATGAGCGATGCAACAGGTTACTTCTTAACCCTGGTAAACAGGATCTCAAATAAATAAATAAATAAATAAATAAAATAAAAAGGAAATCGGCGACTTCTGAGGGTAGCTTTCCAAGCTCTCCGATAAATTCTTTTTAAAAGTTCATTGCCATCTGGTCCCTGATGAATGCTCACCCCTATTCCTCCTTCATTTAGGACAAGCAACACAGGGATCCCTGGCGTGTGGGCGTTCCATGTCGGCAGCACTTCCCCACTTGACAACGTGGCCCCTGCCACGGTCGGGAAGCCCCAGATGCCTCCTCGGGGAAAGCCGGAGGGCGGTTCTGTGGCTCCCAACATCCCAGAGGCTCCGTACCCGGATTCCGGCCTCGATTATGCCGATTCCTTCTACGACGGGAATGAAGACGACTTTGAATACTTGCCCGTGACGCCCACCGAGATGTCGCCTGACCCGGAAAAAAAGCCCAGCGTCTCGTTGAACTCGGATGACCTCCTTGATTACAGCGAGCCGAGGCATTCGGGTGCGAAACTGGATCCGGCACCGTATTCTCCGGCCTCTAGCCACCTCCCTGTGTACCCTGAACTGGATTCCGTTCCACTGTTCCCAGTGGAAGAAGCACCCCCCACGCCATCTTCTGTATCAGAAGGCATCCCTGGAACCTCATCCTCGCCGTGGGTTTATGAGCCTCCGATCGAGGCGGTCACGGCGGTCTTGCTGGGACGTCCGGAGCACGAGGATGCCGTGCCTTCTTGGGAAGAAGATCGGGGCGTCCCCTCCGAGTCGGAAAGCTTTCCAGTCTACCCAGAAGGGGAAGTCATTCTCGAAAGCTTCCCAGACCACTCGCCTCCTTTCAGCCACAGGAGACGGGTTGTCGGAGTGGATGAGGATGTCGGCTTTAACCCGGATGGTAAGTGGCGAAAACCTCGTGCTCGGTGTATTTTTTGTTGTTGTTGTGGTTGTGAGAGAGTCTTCCGCAGCTGAGTTGTCTCCCGTTGTGAGTCTATTGGATCTTTTCTTTGGCTTGTTTCCCCAAACTTCGGATAAGCAGGATTCTCCCCCCGTCATTGAGGCTGAAGGCAGTGACAATTCAAAATAACAACAGTAATGTATTTTTATTGATATCAGGCCAAAAGCCAAAGGAGGGGGGGAAGCTTGGAGGCCTACGATTGACAGACCATGCTGTTGCTCCCCCTGTTCCTCTCCCTTCTCTTTCTTTTAAAGCTCTTGGGCTTCTTCACTGTCTCAAGGAATTATAACTTATAGGTCCCGACTTCTGTAATTCTTTAAATGGCTTTCCCGAGGCACCTTACCATCTTGTGAGGTCGGTGCGATCTCTCCTGCTCCAGGGAGAGTCCCATTGAAATCTCGCTTTCCAGGCGGGCCCCTCTCTCACAGTGGCTGTAAACTTTCGGCCACCCAGACCATTCCTCATGTTGGCTCCGAGTCCTGTGTGGGAACAGACACTGCAGGCTATCAGGTAGAGGTAAAAGGTTCCCCTTGACCTTTAGTCCAGTCATGTCCGACTCTAGGGCCCGGTGCTCATCCCCGTCTCCAAGCCGTAGAGCCAGCGTTTTGTCTGAAGACAGTTTTTGTGGTCACGTGGCCGGCGTGACTAGACACGGAATGCTGTGAACTTCCCATTGTGGTGGTACCTATTTATTGATTCACATTTTTACCTGCTTTCGAACGGCTAGGTTGGCAGGAGCTGGGACGAGCGATGGAAGCTCCCTCCGTCGCTTGGATTAGATCTTATGACGGCTGGTGTTCTGACCTTGCAGCACAGAGGTTTCTGCAGTTTAACCCGCAGCGACACCACATCCCTTGCAGGCCATCAAGGGGTTTGTTATTACACAGAGCTTGAGAAAGTTACTCTTTTTGGGGCTTTGAGTATCACCTCAGCAGGCTGGATAGCTCCGTGGTTGAGGTCTCTGGCTATGGAGCCGGAGGTTGGGAGTTCGATTTCCGACTGGGCCTCCTGGGAGTGGGGCCGGCCTGGGTAGCCTTGGGCCAGCTGCACAGCCCCACAGCGCCCCTAGAGGAAGGGAAGGGTAAAACCACTTCTGAGTCTTCTTGTCCTAGAAAACAAGTCACCATAAGTCATACAGTGGGGTCTTGACTTAAGAACGGCTTGAGTTAAGAACATTTTGACTTAAGAACCACGTCCGTGTGTTGGCGGGGGGGGGGGGGGGGAGTTTGTAAATGCTTGGGATCACTCTTGTCTTTTTCCAAAATAGGGGTTAAAATCTGCTTAGACTGCACTTCTGTTTTCTTCTGAAATCATTAGGGGTTTTTTTTGTGAGCATGTTATGTGCTTCGAAGGAATGTTCCACTGTGCACCTCCTGGCATAGTGGTTAAACTGCAGTACTGCAGCCAAAACTCTGCTCAGCACCTGGGTTCAATCTCAGCTAGCCAGCTTGAGGTTCACTCAGCCTTCCAGCCTTCCAAGGTCAGTCAAATGACCCCCTTTCAGTGCTATGGGGTGGTATATAAGCAAAACTCTTTGCTCTTTTTTTCCCCTTTGCTTAGACGTGGACATATTTGGTCTTCTCTGATTTTGGAGGTCTCCTAGGTTTGGACCTGGTTTGTCCTTAAGTGGGAGACAGGAAGGGAGCACCCGGGATCTCGAAGTGGATTTTGGAATGCATCCTGCCAGAAACCTGGGGGAATGGTTGCTGCCAACCAGACTTGGCAATACTGGACTAGGGTGGGAGAAAACTCTGACTCAGCAAAAGGTAGTTTCCTGTACAGTTGAACTGCAGTATTTGTGGGAGATTGGTTCCAAGCACCCTGTGGATGCTGGAAACAGCGGATAAGTGAAGCCCTTACTTCCAGTTCCTTTGGTGTCTGTGCACAGCTGGGAAGTTGAACCCTGACCCCATCTTTCCTCTTGTCTGCAAGGGAGGCTTCCCTGAAATGTGTTATTTCTAGGTTTTTATTTCTTTCTTTCTAACATTTATTTTCTCTCTCTCGGCAAATAAGTGAAACTGTGGTTACTGATCCCGCAGATATGTCAGTTCTACTGTATTTAACAACATGGATATAATACATGCTTAGAATAGGTACCACCCAATTAATCCATTTCCTTGCTGCTATCGCTATAACACATTAATTTCGTTACAAAACAGGTAATTGCGGCCGATATTCAGGACGGAGCTGTTATTTATTAGTGAGGTCTGAGCCAGTGTCAAATGTTGTTTAGTTGTTAAGTTGTGTCTGACTCTTTATGGGCCAGAGCACACCGGGCCCTCCTGTCTTCCACTGCCTCCCGGAGTTGGGTCAAAGTCATATTGGTTGCTTCAATGACCCTGTCCAACCATCTCATTCTCTGTCGTCCCCTTCTCCTCCTGCCTTCACTCTCTCCCAACATCAGGGTCTTTTCCAGGGAGTCTTCTCTTCTCATCACATGGCCAAAGTATTGGAGCCTCAGCTTCGGGATCTGTCCTCCCAGGGAGCACTCAAGGTTGATTTCCTTCAAAATGGATAGGTTTGTTCTCCTTGCAGTCCAGGGGACTCTCAAGAGTCTCCTCCAGCACCACAATTCAAAAGCATCAATTATTCGGCGGTCAGCCTTCTTTATGGTCCAGCTCTCACTTCCATACATTGCTACTGGGAAAACCATAGCTTTGACTATGCGGACCTTTGTCGGCAAGGTGAGGTCTCTGCTTTTTAAGATGCAATCTTTTTAATGGCAAAACATCGCATTGTGATGATCGGTAAGCGTTTTGCTTACCGATCTTCGCATTGCGATGTTTTGCCAACAGCTGATTGGCGGTTCCAAAATGGCCGCCGGGTCGACAAAATGGCCGCCCGTAGTGTTTTCACGCGGTTCCTTCGCGTACCGAGGTGGCGAAAATGGCGGCCGGATGGAAGATCTTCGCATAATGATGAGTTTTCCCCCTATAGGACTCATTAAACGGGGTTTAATGCATTCCTGTGGGGTTTTTTTGCCCCGTATAGCGACAATTCCGGATAGCGATGATTTATCCGGAACAGATTATCGTCGCTATGCGGGGCACCACTGTATTTTCCTCTATTTCTTTGCACTGTTCATTTAAGAAGGCCCTCTTGCCTCTCCTATGCTATTCTTTGGAAGTCTGCATTCAATTTTCTGTAACTTTCCCTATCTCCCTTGCATTTTCTTTCCCTTCTCTGCTATTTGTAAGGCCTCGTTGGACAGTCACTTTGCTTTCTTGCATTTCCTTTTCTTTGGGATGGTTTTCATTGCTGCCTCCTGGACAATGTTACGAGCCTCTATCCAAAGTTCTTCAGGCACTCTGTCCACCAAATCTAGTTCCTTAAATCTGTTCTTCACTTCCACTGTGTATTCATAAGGGATTTGGTTTAGATTATACCTGAGTGGCCCAGTGGTTTTTCCTACTTTCTTCACTGCCAGAGCCAGTGTCGAATGCACCTGACTTTTCTGTGCTCATCAGGTGGAGATGGGAGTGCATGTGTGTTTGCATGTGAGAAAGATGGAAGCCAGGGACTTTAGACCTGGAGACAGAGCTTTGGGAAGTGACTTTTTTGGATGACAGCGCCCAGGATCCACAGCGAGCATGTCCCCTTGGTTGCCGAGGTTCGGAAGGGAACGTTCTCCCAAGCTTTCCGCTTCTCAAACAGAGCCTGTGTCAAGAGACCAACTGTTGGTCAACTCTGGAGGGTCAAAGGCGGCAGCTGCCCTCGGGGAGGTTTGCCAAACCATCGTGCTGGTGTTTTGCAAGCTGCTCTCGAAAACAGGGAGGGGGATTAAGGAGGGAGGGGGAGACTGGCCGGCTGGCCACAGTCTTTCTGGCACGCATGTAACGGGATCCTCGACAGCTGGGAGAAGCTGTGTGCCCATGGCTTGCGTGCAAAAAGGGATGTCCGGAGAGGATCTGGCGTGAATTGA